AGACACAGAGCAAGGGACTGAACATCCTCTCAGATGAAGGCTGCAGCTGCAGCTGCTGCTTTCTGCCACTGCCTATCAAGGGTGCTCATGGAAGAACACCCAAGTGGAATGGGCAACCATCACCATCACAGGGCACAGGGTTCACACCATGGTGCCGTCTCTTAATGGTGTGATTGGCTTGTCTCTTCATCCAGTGGTCTGTGATGCCCAGCTATGGTTGATATCCAAGCCTCTTTCCTTGGTTTCAGCAGTGAAAACCCAGATACCACTGGCCACTCCAGGCTCTAATCCTCAAATGTAACTGATAACACTGGAGGGTAGATTCCCTGCTAGGGTATAGAGATACTTCTGTTCTTAGGGTGATGGCACAATAGCTTTTTGAGGGCCCTCAGAGATAAAGACTCAGGGAACCAGCACATCCAACTGTCTCCTCTCAGCTCAGTGGCTGGTTCTTTCTCTGCCCCTACCAGCAATATGGTCCCCTGCCCCGTGTCCTGGTCAAGGCTGAGCAATCCAACCTCTCTCAGCTGAGCCAAGGTCTTAATCTGCCTGGCCTCTCTGAGCCTCAGCTCCCGAAACTGGGAGGATTGCCTCTGGCTCCCCATCCTGGGTTGTCCCACTGCCTGGAACTGCTCCAGCCTTCCTTTCTGCTTGTCCTATAGGACTCACAGTGAATGTGGCCCTGTGGAGCTTCTGCATGACATTGCACAGGTGACTCTGTGTGACCTCTCCCCTCCTGACTTCATATCCTAGGACTAGCATGAAGAAGTTAGCCTATTACCCATGGGTCAGCTCAACTGCTACATTTTGGCCTAGAAAGCAAGCCAACTTCACCAATCCTACAGAGGATCTAGGCTGCTGGGGCCCACAAAATACCAGTACTGAGAACTGAGGACTCCCAGGTGTGGGACACAAGGCAGAAGAGTAGGACTGTGTGTCCTCCCTGCAGCGCCCCAGAGCCCTTGCCACAACATTCCAGAAGACAGTCAATGCCTGTTGGGCAGGAGGACTGGACCTAGCCTCTGACTTTAGCAGCAAGGCTATGCAGGCCACATAAGGCCAGTGCTGGAAGCTGGCACTACCAGGTGTGCTTGCCAGGCAAACCTGTACTTGAGCTGATAGCGCAGTCTGTGTGTGTCTGGGTGGAGTGAACAGGCTGGTTAACATGAGGTGGACATGCTTGTAACCAAGGGCCCCATATGGGCACAGCACAGTGCTGCTGGGATGCAGTACCCCTAGCTCTGAGCTGAGCTGGCCTCTCTTGCTCGGGGATATCATCCCAGGAATGTCTTTGATCAAACAGTTGTGCAAGAGGGCAAATCAAGCCCAGGACCTCTAATCCGTTCCCAGTCCCCTGGCCCGCAGGGCCCCACAGCCCAGCCCCACACCACAGGGCCAGCAGACAATAGCCTGGGGGTGGGGTAGGGATGGTGGGCAGGCAGCTCAGGGCTGCAAGCCTTGAGGCCCACATCTGGGGTCATTGTTACTCAGGGCACACAAGGAGGGTAGAGAGAGAATACAGAATGCTCTACTGAAGGAGCCTCACTGGGCCTGGAGTGTGGCATCCATTTAGCCTTTGAATTGTCCCCAAGAGACAATTGAGGCAGCCTATATCAGCTAGGAGCCACTTTAAAACTGAGAGGTCCTACTCGTTGGGCCATCTGTGTGTGGCCAGCTCAAGGCCTGAGGAAGGCATCCTTACTATGCTTGTTCTGTCCTGAGTGGCTAGGCCAAGTTTCTAACACCTGGGCCTTTTTGGACATCTGCCTCAGTTCCTTTCCCCTTCGCTGGGATAAACACTAGACAACTGTAACTTAAACGGGGAAAGGAGTATCTGGTCCGCAGGTCCGTCATGGGGGAAGGCATGGCATCGTGAGCTTGAGGCAGCTGCTCACACTGCATCCACATGGGAAGCAGAGAAAGCCAACCACGAGTACTCAGCTCTCTCTCGCCTTTTTACGGAGTCCAGGACCCCAGGCCATGGGATGCTGCTGCACACATACAGAGGGTGTTCCCATCTCAACTAACATAGTCAAGGTAATCCTTTAGGGAGCTGGAGGCTGCCTCCATGTTAAGAGCATTCATTGTCTGCCCTTCCAGAAGACCCAAGTTTGGTTCCCAGCACCTACCTGGCAGCTCACAACCATCTGTAACACCAGACCAGGGGCTCCAACACCTTCTTCAAACCTTAACAAGCATATGTATGGTACACAGATGTATATGCAGGTAAAACATGCATACACATAAAATTAAAATTTTTAAAAAGAAGAAATCTTGGCTGAATATCCCATAGTTTTTTAGAGTTGGTCAAACATTTTGATTTTACAATGGTCAACGATGACAGTGACCCTTCACATAAATACATAGTACAAAGGGCAAAAGTGTGCATAGGGCCGGTTCAGAAATTGTTGGAAATTCTGTCCTAACCCTAGGGTGAGTTTCGCTGAACAGTTTTTTATGAAAATAGTCAATTTTAAAAATCAGACATTCTTTTTTTTTTTTTTTTTTTTTTTGGTTTTTCGAGACAGGGTTTCTCTGTGTAGTCCTGGCTGTCCTGGAACTCACTCTGTAGACCAGGCTGGCCTCGAACTCAGAGATCCGCCTGTCTGTGTCTGAAAATCAGACATTCTAATATAGTACAAACCATAGTTAGACTAATTTGGTACATGTTGAGGCCTGAGAGCACAACGCATTAAAAGCCTTGGTTTGCTGTAAGGAAAGCATCATGCGTCTGTGCCTGGTCTGGGTTGAGGGTGTTTTGGGTGCTGTGCACTGGCACAGATGAAAGAGCCTGGTGCAGCACAGAGTGCAGGAACAGCCTGGTGCAGTACAGAGTGCAGGACTGAGCCTGCACTGAAGAAGCTCTGGAGCATATGACAGCTCTTCAACACTGCCCCTTCTCTAGAAACCCATGTTCTCCTGGATCGGCTAGATCAAGACATGCCATAGGCTCAGATGAGCAAGAAACCAGGTTGGAGCAGCAGGCACAAACCACTCTCACCCAGTTGTGCCTTGTCCTGCCTGGAATTGGCCCCTTACTGTGACCACCTGCAGTTACTCCACCAGTTGCCACCTGCAGTCTTGTACCTGTAGACTTAGTAGAATGGGCAAGTCAGGGCTCAGCAAACAGAACTGCGACCCCTTCTTCCAGCCTCATCTTACTACAAGGCAGAGGAAGAAAAGGTTTTGGGTAAAGATGAAATAAGGAAATGAGGCAGAGCTTCTGGGTGTTTGGTCTCAGTCGTCTCAACACTACCATCCTACAAAACCAAACCTCACCACCAGCAGGGCTAGGGGATGGATGGGTGGTTAGTGCTTAAAGAGCCTGATGCTCTTGCAGAGGACCCAGCTTCAGTCCTGACCACCACATGGCTGCTCACAGCCACATGGAACCCCAGTTCTAAGAGATCTGATGCCCTCTTCTCACCTCTGCAGCCCCATGAGGTGGAAGCAAAAAACTCATATTTATAAAATACAATTTTATATATAGTTTTTTAAGACAGGGTTTTTCTATTTAACAGACCCGACTATCCTGGAACTCTTTCTGTAGACCAGGCAGGCCTTGAACTCCAGAGATCCACCTGCATCTGCCTCCTGGGTGCTAGGATTAAAGGTGTGCATCACCACCCAGCAATAATCTTTATATTTTAAAAATCCTCACTAATACCAGCTTTACACCAAACTGCAATCTGTAGGTAGCTTCAGGCTAAAATTGGTCCCTCAGTCACAGACAGGCTTGCCTGTTAGGGATTACAGTGTCTCTGTAGGCCTGAGGCCCTCTCTGTGTGTTTACTTACTTTTCTATGACAAAAAAAAAAATACAAAAACAAACAAACAAAAAACCCAAAAACAAAAGAAATATGCAATTTAAGGGATAAAGAGGGTTTATTCTGTCCAGTTTATAAGGTGGCAATCATTAGGGTGGGAGGCACAGCACCAGGAGTCTGAGGCAGCCCGTCACCTCGCATCCTCGGCCGGGAAGCAGAGATGCACACTGGGGCTCAGCTCCCTTTCTCCTTTGTCTTCAGTACAGACCCCACTCCATGGGACACAGTACGTTCAAGGTGGGTCTTCCCTCCTCAGTTAAGCCTCCCTAGAAAGACCCTCACATCCACCACACCCAGAGGTGTGTCTACTAGGTGGTTCGAAATCCTGTCAAGTTGACTATCAAGCAGGAAGCAAGCTGAGCAGAAAGACTTATGGAGAACCAGCCCAAAAACCTCTGCCTCAGACCTCCAGCCTCCAGCCTGTGACAAAGTGATGCTCATAAAGGAGGACACTAAAGCCGGCCAGCCAGAACAGGGCGGGATGAGTGTCATAAAACAGAGCAGCAGTGGGAAGGACATTTATAGCTCATAGGCCATGGTCTGAGAAGGCAGAAAGACTGGCCAGCAGCTCAGTGACTATCAAGGACACAGGTTCCACTCGTGCCTGATTCTGCCACCCTCAACAGCAACTTCCCTACAACTCCCGAAGTCGCCTATGGCAGACCAAGTAATACCTTCATGGGACAGCATGCGAAAGCACCAGCATTCTTCTCACGACCTGTGACATCCCCTTTCACAGCAAACACAACTGTCTCAGTGGTGAGTGGAGGGGGCACATCCACATGGCAGAATGGTCCTGCACAGTCTCTCTAAATTGTGATCCAGAAGGCTTTTTGGGGTGATCAAAGCATCATGGGGACTAGATGGGGACCTCAAGAAAGGGTCAAGTGGGCAGAGGTCAAGGCCTGTACAGGAGCATGGAAGGTTATCAGGCAGGCGGCTGTGGTTCTGCTGATGGGTGGGAGATCTGACAGCAGATGTGCACAAGGTGAAGGGGACAGGATGTAGAGACCAGGGAGATGAGGGGGCAGAGACAAGAGAAGAGCCAGCATCTGACGTGGTGAACGTGACAGGCACAGCAGGCCACACCTCTGAAGCTCCATCTTGGCACTTCAGCATCCTGGCACTGAAGGACCGCAGCAGCTGCAGTACAAATGACCTCACACAGACTACTGCTTTAAAATACACTATTTATTCTTTTTTTCAAATATAATAGGAAAGTAAAATGATGGTAAGAACAGTCACAGCCCTCCGAGCTCGGTCCTCAGAGCAGCACATTGAAGAGTACCTGATCCTGGGAGCAGCTGGGACAACGGTGCTGAACACCTGAGAGGCAGCTGCCAGGCTCAGGAGGCCAGATGCATGGTGTCCTAAGCCTCAGACCCCGCCCCCAGCCCTCCCACTGGCTCGGCTGGGCTGATGGAAGAAGGGAACAGCTCAGGTACACAAAGGTCCCTCTACTCATGCCGTGCAATGATGTTAAAAACGGTGTCCTAGGGCCACAAGCCTAAGTTCCCAGCACTTGGGAGACAGAAACAGGAGGATCACCCTTTATGGCCAGCTTGGACTATGTAGTGACTGACTATAAAAGAAAATTAAAATCACAGAGAACCCAAAACTCCAAATGGCATGCATGGTGACCCTGTTACAACATGAAACTTAAGTAGGGACAGCCAGGGTACAATAACCCGAAGGAAGGCGTATCATGTTGTACAAGTTAGGCCCAGTTCTTCCTCCTAGCTCCATGCTGCTAAAAATAAGACTCAGACTCAAAATATATTTACAAATACCTTGGACATACAGCTAGACTCTACTCTGACTACATCATAACTAAAGATAACTCATTTATTTTAACCTGTATCCTGCCATGTGGCTGGTTACCTGCACTCAGGTACCATGTGTCTGTCCATCTCCTCACATCTTCCCTGGTGGATCTCCCACCTCTGTATCCCAGAATCCTTTCTCTCTCTCAAATGTTCCGCCTCTATTTCCTCCCTTTAATTGACATGTGATGAGAGATATTCTCTCTACAGAAATGCCTGGGAGCACTGAGCCCACTCCCACCAGCTCACCTGCCTGTAAATACCTGCCAGACACACAGCTGCTGCTAAAAGAAGTACAGTGACACCCAGGCAAGCCCTACACATTCACAGTGGCGACCACCATCTAGTCCCCCAGTGACACTTTTTGTTTGTTTTTGAGTTCACTCTATAGACCAGGCTGACCTCAAACTCAGAGATCTGCCTGCTGCCTCTCGAGCCCTGGGATTAAAAGTGTGCACCACCACTGCCTGGCTCCATGGCCACTTCTGAATGTGTAGAGCTCATCCCACACCTGTTTAGGGGCAGCATGAAGGCCATGCTCCAGCTTCCTCAGGATCAGGCCGCCCGTCTTCTCAGCTGGGCATTCAGAGACAAACCAAGTCCAATGGAGTCCTGTGCACACAGCAGGAATCTGGGTCCTCCAGTGGTGTTGGCAATAACAGCACATGTTGGAGGCAGAGGTACCATGTGGTACTGCAGGGCATGGACCTTCGGTGGGAGCCAGCTCTGCCACCAGGCACTTAGACTAGATGGGTCTATTTCATCACCTCTAAGCCAGAACGGTATCCACCTCTGGGGCCGCCAGAGGGATGGAATGAAGTAAGGAGGCCCAAGCGTGGCCAGCAGAGGCTCAGCAGACAGTAAAGACCCTGTCATGGCTTCCTATAAACCCATTTCACATCAGCCTGCCTCTATTAGTCCCACCCTCAGGGTAACCCTACCCAGGACCACTCACTCTGGCCAGTGGCAGGCAGTCTCTTGAGTGTGCTGCCCCTGTCAGAAGGCAGGGTGATCAGACCTCTGCAAGCCACCCAGGCAGAGCCTCGGGGAAGAAGTCAAACTGGTCCTCCCACAGAACAATGGATGCCTCTCAGGCTTGCCTTTAATCACTGTGACGCTTAATGTGCTGACATCTGCTCGTTTGTGGGTCCTCAAAACGCAAGTCCAGAGCCTCCTGCAGCCACCTTGAAGTCCGGCTGCACGTTGAGCAGTGAGCACAGCTGGAAGTACCCAAGAGACTGTGTCTTACACCTCCTGCACTTCTGCTCAGCTTCCCCTATCCCAGTACAAGCCCACAACATCTCCACCCCATTTTCAGTCATTCTACAAGGGGCAGGGAAACAAGTTCCTCTGGGTCTATACCTGGTCACACACTGCCCAACACAACCATCACAGGAACCCTAGGGCTTGCGCCAACCCGGCCTTCAAAGCACGCTCAGGCACACCCCATAGACAGGCTAACGACACAAACCTGTCTGAATTTCCCTCTGATTCTGTCCAGGTCTTCATGGAGCTTCTCGTAAGTGGGATCATCATAGGGAAAGTCCTGCAGCAGTGTGATCAGAGCCTCCACCACCTTCAGCTTCCTGCTGATATGCACGGGGGGTGGGGGGGAGGCAAGACTGTCACCCAGGAGACTCCACTGCATCTTCAGAGCAGTGGGCAGGCAAAGCACACCTCCCTGCTCTAGGCAGTGCTAGCCACCACCTGCTGCAGAGCAACTCTCACCAGTGGCTCTTCATCTACCTAGGGAACTGCAGGCTGGAGCAAGGGGGAGCTCTACAGAGAGGATGGCAGCCAGGCCCAGCTGTGACTGCCACCCAGTGGTGGCATGAACAGTCAACATGACCCCTCCGGGACCAGGCTGCCCAGTCACTCCTAAGGTACCCAAGTTTTTTGTTTGTTTGTTTGTTTTGTTTTGTTTCTTTTGGTTTTTTGAGACAGGGTTTCTTTATATAGCCCTGGCTGTCCTGGAACTCACTCTGTAGACCAGGCTGGCCTCGAACTCAGAAATCTGCCTGCCTCTGCCTCCCAAGTGCTGGGATTAAAGGCGTGTGCCACCACTGCCCAGCCTAAGATTCCCAAGTTAAGTCTCCTTGTCTGTTACCTGCTCACACTAAAGAAACCAGTAGATAGCCAGTCATGATGGTGTACACCATTAATCCCAGTGCTTGAGAGGCAGGGACAGGAGAATATCTGAATCTGAGACCAGTCTGGTCTATAGAAGAAGTCCCACGTCAGCCAGGATTGCTGTGATGGACATGCAGAGAGGAAACCCCAGAGCCCACAACTGACCACCAACACCTGGCTTTTACTTTTGAATATGGCATGGGTCCTAGACACTGAAAGAGTGTCAATAAAAGAGCAAGCCCCACAAGCAGGGCGCTGCTGTCCTGTCCTCCCAGCCTGCTGTGCTAGCACCCTCCTCCAGGCCCTCCTGTGGCAGGCCAGGTCAACGGGTGTAGAAAACCTACACCATGCCAGCCTAACCCTAAACCTGAGCATACAAGAACATTACACCTTTCACTTCAGGGTCCCTCCCAGCCTCAGGAAGCAGGCACATGGGGCAGCTCATAGGGCCTGGGCAGGCAGAGCACTGTAAGGCAAGGTACCAAAGCCAATACAGCTCAAAGAACAGTAACACTCCCCAGGGGCTGTTGTGTGCCGAAAAGAAATGTTTCAGGTTGAACTCTGCCTGCCTGCAGTGGTATATATCTGTAAGCCCAGAACACAAGAGACTGAGGCAGAAAGATAGCTGTGAGTGAGAGGCCAGTCTGAGCCACAATGTGAGCCCATCTCAAAAAAAAAAAAAGGAAAGGACTGCATCCTGGTTGATATACCATGGACAGAGCCAACATTTCTTTTTCTTTGTCTTGCTGTTCTGGAACTGGCCATGCAGATCAGGCTATCCTTGAACTCACAGAGATCTGCCTCTCTCTGCTATGATTAAAGACATGCAGTACCAACCACCCCTGGCAGAGCCAGCACTTCTGAGGCTTCATTCCACTGACACTATTGCAGTCTGTATATCAGAAGCCCAGGTGAGATACGGACAGCAAGGTAGGATCATTCTGACATTACCTGAGATGTGACATCATCCAGTGCCCATCAAGTACCTATGAGGTACCTGGTATATTTTATTTATTAGTCTTTGAATAACAACGGTCCAGGTGGCCATTATTACTTTCTGTGTGTCACCGATGAGATTCAGCACTAATGATGCAAGATAACTATGCGCACATTAGGACACTCAGAGCTCCTCCTGGCCACTGCTCGGACAGTGTGCTAACGAGAGACTGAGCGGGGAAAGGGGGTGAGCGGGAAAAGGGGGTGAGAGGGAAAAGGGGGTGAGCGGGAAAAGGGGGTGAGAGG